TTAGGTGGTTTTATTGGGTGAGTATGCTGTTTAGGTGGTTTTATTTGGTGAGTATTTTGTTTAGGTGGTTTTATTTGGTGAGTATGTTGTTTAGGTGGTGTTATTGGGTGAGTATGCTGTTTAGGTGGTTTTATTTGGTGAGTATTATGTTTAGGTGGTGTTATTGGGTGAGTATGCTGTTTAGGTGGTTTTATTTGGTGAGTATTTTGTTTAGGTGGTGTTATTGGGTGAGTATGCTGTTTTGGATGGTTTTATTGGGTGAGTATGTTGTTTAGGTGGTTTTATTGGGTGAGTATGCTGTTTAGGTGGCAACATACTCACCCAATAAAGTGGTTTTATTGGGTGAGTATGTTGTTTAGGTGGTTTTATTGGGTGAGTATGCTGTTTAGGTGGTTTTATTGGGTGAATATTTTGTTTTGGATGGTTTTATTGGGTGAGTATTGCTGTTTTGGGTGGTTTTATTGGGTGAGTATGTTGTTTAGGTGGTTTTATTGGGTGAGTATGTTGTTTTGGATGGTTTTATTGGGTGAGTATTGCTGTTTTGGGTGGTTTTATTGGGTGAGTATGTTGTTTAGGTGGTTTTATTGGGTGAGTATGTTGTTTAGGTGGTTTTATTGGGTGAGTATGCTGTTTAGGTGGTTTTATTGGGTGAGTATGTTGTTTAGGTGGTTTTGTTGGGTGAGTATTTTGTTTAGGTGGTTTTGTTGGGTGAATATGTTGTTTAGGTGGTTTTATTGGGTGAGTATGCTGTTTTGGATGGTTTTATTTGGTGAGTATTTTGTTTAGGTAGTTTTATTGGGTGAGTATGCTGTTTAGGTGGTTTTATTTGGTGAGTATTTTGTTTAGGTGGTTTTATTAGGCAAACTTGCTGTTTAGGTGTTTTTATTAGGCTAGTATACCGGAAGTAAGAGCATCTAACTACAGAATTGAAACATTTATGTATATATTAAATAACAAAGATTGTTACCTGTACATTAAGCGTGGGTTATACAGTAAAACTTGCTACAATTATTATACAAAGTAAAGGGATCAAACCTTCATAAAGGTGGCCTCAAGGATGTTCTTGGGTATGATATTTCTGAAATAGATAAAAAAGAATGAAACTTGAGCAACTGATTGACGTTAACATAAAACTTATAACTTTATCCCAAGTCAAATCGGTGCTTCTTAACAAAGTCCACCAATGTTGCCCCAAATATAAAACTTAAAAAAACACATTCTCTAGAATCAATGGACGAAACGGCAATGAATACAATCCTTTTGATAAAGTTGATTCCACGAATAATTTTAGGAATAGGTCTGGCGTGGCTTAGTGGTTAGCGTGTCTTGCCTTTGAATCCTAGGATACATAGCTCACGTGCTGTTGTCCCCAGTGGTTAACGTGTCTCGACTTTGAATCCTAAGATTCATAGCTCACGTGCTGCTGTCGCCGGTTTTACGTTCTTACTTGAGACACTCTGTTTGACACATACTAAATTGCTACTACTTGTGGGAATAAAGTAGGTTTTACGTTCTTACTTGAGACACTCTGTTTGATACATACTAAATTGCTACTACTTGTGGGAATAAAGTAGGTTTTACGTTCTTACTTGAGACACTCTGTTTGATACATACTAAATTGCT